TTTTTTTTTTTTTTTTTTTGGTGGGTCGTTGGGCTTGAACTCTGGAGTTGGGCGCTGTCCCTCAGCTCTTCAGCTCAAGGCGAGTACTCTACCACTTGAGCCACAGGCCCACTTCCGGTTTTTTTAGTGGTTTTATTGGAAATGAGTCTCATGGGCTGTCTTTGAACCATGATCCTCAGATCTCAGCCTTCTGAGTAGCTAGGATTACAGGAGTGAGCCACTGACGCCTGGCTGAAACCCTTTTTTTAATTGCATATAATTACCACTTAGAGACGATCATCATTTAAAAAAATCACGGTGTTCTTCCTAGATTTTTTTTCCTAGTGCTGGGTTTGAATTTGTACCTTAAGCTTGCTAGACAGGTGTGTTACTGCTGAGACATGCATCCAGCTCTTTTTCACACTGGTTATTTTGAAATAAGCATCCTGTGTATTCCTGGGCTACAGTCCTATTATTCCTTTCTCAATGTATGTGGGATGCCAGGGACATGCCAGCTTGCTCAGCTTCTTCCATTGAGATGGTGTCTGTTGAATTTTCTGCCTATGCTACCCTTGATCCACGATTTTCCTGATCTCAGCCTCCCAAGTTGCTAGGATTATAGGCGTGAACCACAGTACCTTACCTTCTTCCTGAGCTTTTATTTAACATACATTAATTATGGTTTGAACCATTAACTGAGGTTGAATTTTGCTGGATTATAGATTATGTTCCTTCTAGCGTGTTAAAATTGTTCCCATGTACCTTGAATGGGATGTTATTCTTTTTTTTTCTTTTTTTATTAATAAGTTTTTTTTATTGTGAAAATACTGTACAGAGGAGTTGCAATTACACGAGCAAGGCAATGAGTACATTTCTTATCAAGCATTATTGCCTCCTCCTTTGTTTCTATCCCTGCCCTCCATCTCCCCTTGCCCCCCCACCCCCTTTTTTTTGGGTCAATTTTGGGGCTTGAACCCTGGGCCAGGGCATTGTCCTTCAACTCTTCATCTCAAGGCTAGTGCTCTACCACTTGAGCTACAGTGCCACTTCCAGCTTTTTCTGTTTATGTAGTGCTGAGGAATCTAACCCAAGGTCCTCATGCATGTGAGGCAAGCACTCTCCCACTGAACCATCTTCCCAACCCAAGTTATTCTTTTAAATGATTTAATATTTCATCTTAGTGGCTATAAATTTGATGTGAGTGGGCTAAAATCTAACTAAATACCACACTTGTGGTTCATTGATTTAGCAACCTATGATTTTTTTAATATTTATTTTTATTGTGAAAATACAGAGGGGTTACAATTACATGAGCAAAATAATGATTACATTTCTTATCAAGCATTGTAGCCTCCTCCTTTGTTTCTCCTTCCCATCTCATCCTCCCCCCCCCCGGCCCCCACCCCCACCCCGCAACCTATGATGTTAATGTCAGTATTTATTTTTTTTTATTTTTTTATTTTTTTTTGGGTCCGGTCGTGGGGTCTGAACTCTGGGCCTGGGCGCTGTCCCTCAGCTCTTCAGCTCAAGGCTAGCGCTCTACCACTTGAGCCACAGCGCCACTTCCGGCTTTTTTTTCTTTTTGCTTATGTGCTGCTGGGGAATCGAACCCAGGGCCTCAGTCATGCAAGGCAAGTGCTCTACCACTGGGCCACCTTCCTAGCCCAATGTCAATATTTATTGTATTACATTGTGTAATTGTCTGTGCCTAGCAGTATGGAAGAATGAAAATTGACTTCAGAACACTCCTTGTTTCCCTCCAGGAATGATGCCAAAACTGTGAATGTTATCACAACTGCATGTTTCTCTAAGATCACCAAGGTGAGCATCTCACTTGTAAGGTGCATGGTGGAGGGAGGGGAGATGAAGGATCAGGAGTGAAGGAAGAAGTGGCATGGATGTGAAGAGTGTTCACTGATGCTTGCTTTCTTTGTACTTTGACTGCTTGAGAAGTCAGAATTATCATGAGCTTTTAAACACTGAATAGGTAAAAGCTACTGATATTTTTGCTGATGCTTCATGCTTCTATTGGACATGGGCACAGATAAAAAGCTATATGGACTGTGCCCGACCTTTGTGTTTGAAGGGTTCCAGTGTCTGGCTTTCAGGAATGTAGAAATTGACAGTCAACCTTAAAGATTAATATAGAACCTGGAGTTTTTGTTTGTTTGTTTTTTTGGGGGGTCCAGTTGTGGGGCCTGAACTCTGGGCCTGGGTGCTATCCCTCAGCTCTTCAGTTCAAGGCTAGCGCTCTACCACTTGAGCCACAATGCCACTTTCGGCTTTTTTCTTTTTGCTTATGTGGTGCTGAGGAATCGAACCCAGGGCCTCATGCATGCAAGGCAAGCACTCCACCACTGAGCCACCTTCCCAGCCCCAAGAACCTGGAGATTTTTATATAGTTAAAAAGTCTTTTTGGAACTGGGCACTGGTGGCTCACGCCTATAATCTTAACTACTCAGGAGGCTGAGATCTGAGGATCGCAGTTCCATCCAAGCCAGCCGGGCAGGAAAGTCTGTGAGGCACTTACCTCCAATAAACCACCAGGAAACCGGAAGTGGCACTGTGGCTCAAGCGGTACAGGGCTCACCTTGAGCTGAAGAGTTCAGCGCCCAGGCCCACAGTCAAGCCCATGACTACCAAAAAAAAAAAGTCTTTTTGGTAGTGTTGGGACTTGGGCACAGGACTTGTTAAGCATGCACTTGACTAAGCTACACCACCCATCCCTAAAGATTCAAAGGACCAGTGACACCATAACAGCAGTTACCTAATTAAGAAAAAGGAATAAAAATCATAATACCCTTCCAGTTTCTTCAGATCCTAGCTAATACATGTATAAGCCACAAAAGAAAAGTGTTCTCCAGGAGCAGATGATTCACACCTGTAATCCTAGGTACTCAGGAGGCTGAGACTTGAGGATCACAGTTGAGAGCCAGCCTGGGCAGAAAAGTCCCCATGAGACTCATCTCTACTTAACCAGTCAAAAACTAGAAGTGGAGCTGTGATTTAAAGTGGTAGAATGCTAGCCTTGAGCAAAATTGCTCAGGGGTAGTACCCAGGCCCTGAGTTCAGGCCCCACAACTGACCAAAAAAAAAAGTTTTGGGGGAAAAAAAGTATTTGTTTTTTTATGTAAGCTGAGTTAAGTAGACTTTGTGATTATCTTTAGATATTAGTAGCTGCTTTGACATTCTTCCTTGGGAAAGATGAAGATGAGAAACAGGACAGCGACTCAGAATCGGAGGTTGGTTTAATCACAGATCCTTTGAGATTTTACAATTCATCGGGTTTTCTTATTGCTCTGAGCTTAAATTGTGAAATCTTTGGCTGCTTATGTAAAAGAAAAATCTGTTTGTCTTTTTTTTATTGAGTTCCACATTAAGATTTTATTCCATGTAAACTTAGATTCATAATTTCTTCAGCTTTGTTTTTAGTTCTGAAGCTGTAACTGGCTTTATGTAAATTTAGAATTATCATTGCTGCCACCATATTATTGAGTTAGTATTGTACCACATAAATAAATTCACAGTGCAGGAAGAAAAGAAAATATTGGTAGCTTTAAATGGAGAAAGCTAAGATTTAAGATCTGATCAAACTTTTTAGAAATATTAGAAGTTTAAAAAAAAGGCACAAACTTACTTTGTCATTTTATCATTTACTAACTAGATCCAGACAGTGATGTCACTGCTCACACACCATTGTGTGAGCAACGTCTATTCATGGCGAAAAATTCTAGATATTAGCCAGTGCCAGTGGCTCATGCCTGTAATCCTAACTACTCAGGAGGCTGAGATCTGAGGATCATGGTTTGCAGCCAGCCCAGGCAGAAAGTCCCCTTGACACTCAAAAACTGGAAGTAGTGCTATTGCTTAAGTGGTAGAGTGCGAGTCTTAAGCACAAACAGGCTCAAGGACAGTGCTCAGGCTCTGAGTTCAAGCCCTACAACCAACCAAAAAAAAAAAAAATTTCAGGTGCTATTGACAATTTTGTTTACCATGTATTACTTAGGCTTCTCATTTATTTTGTATACTTTTTTGTTTGTCATGGCCTGAACTCTGGGCCTGGGCACTGTCTCTCAGCTCTTCAGCCCAAGGCTAGTGCTCTACCACTTGAGCCACAGTACCACTTCCGGCTTTTTCTGCTTATGTGGTGCTGAGGAATCAAAACCATGGCCTCATGCATGGAAGGCAAGCGCTGTACCACTGAGCCACCTTCCCAGCACCTTCCTATACACTTTAATTTGGGTTTATGTCCATAAATTCTTACATTTGTAGTTCGTTTAAAAACTATATAAAAGGCAAGTGTCAGTGGCTTACACCTGTAATCCTAGGTAATCAGGAGGCTGGGATCTGAGGAACTTGGTTCAAAGCCAACCCAGGCAGGGAAGTCCATGAGATTCTTATCACCAATTAATCACAGAAAAAGCTGGCAGTGGTGCTGTGGCCCAAATGATAGAGTGCTAGCTTTGAGCAGAAGGAGCTCAGTGACAGCACCCAGGCCCAGACTAGCAAAAAAGAAAAAAAAAATTGTATGAATGATGTATACTACCTCTTGCTTTCTTGGTGTCAATATATGTAGATCGTCTTTTTAAAACATCTGCATGCTTTAGAACAAATGTATTTTTTTTTTAATATTCCCCTATTGATAGATAAAGAAGTCATACATTGCTTCTGGGCAGGTTTTCCTTGTTTCCAGTTTTACAAAGTACTTTCTTCTTTAGGATGAAGGACCCACAGCAAGAGACCTGCTAGTACAGTATGCCACAGGGAAGAAGAGCTCCAAAAACAAGAAGAAGTTGGAAAAGGCAATGAAAGTACTTAAGGTGAGACCAGAGAAGTGACATATAGGACTCGTTACAGTGTAGGAAAAGCTCTTTTTGGAGCAAGGGGAGCAGTATTATGGTTTGAACTCGGGTCTTCTTGTTTCTTAGGGAGGAGGTAGGCACTTTACTGCTTGAGCTATACTTCCAGCTCTCCTGTTCACCTAGAACTAAGGGCTTGAACGCATGGCCTTGAGTTCTCCCTTGGCCTTTTTACTTATGGCAAGTGCTCTACCATTTCAAATACACCTCCACTTCCATGCTCTGGCTTTTAAAACTTTGAACGTGTCTAAAAGGTTATCAAGCCATGATAAATTTTTAAGCACTAATTTTAGATGAATAAATATACTCTCCTCTAGCAAGAAGAGTACAAGAATGAAGTACATGTGGTATTTTATAATGATTACTTTATACAGCGTTCATTGGGCCCCAGGTATTTTTTATTGCTTATGGTTACAAATTCTTGTAAGTCTCAAAGGTACAAATGGCTAGAACATTCCCAAGTTTTATTTTTTTAATTTGATTTTTTTGTTTAGACAGGGTCTTCCTGTTTTCCTACGCTGGCCTCAGACTCAGTTTTCCTACTGCAGCCTCCCAAATGCTAGGATTTCAGGTGTATACCACCATGCCAGCTCCGAAGGTTTTTGAGGGGTTTTTTGTTGTTTTATTTTTTTGTTGTTGTTGTTTTGGTCAGTCATGGGGCTTGAACTCTGGGCCTGGGTGCTGTCTTTCAGCTCTTCAGCTCAAGGCTAGCGTTCTACCACTGAGCCACAATGCCATTTCTGGCTTTCTGAGTAGTGTATTGGAGATAAGAGTCTCACGGACTTTCCTTTCCTTCTCGGGCTGGCTTGGAACCGCAATCCTCAGATCTCATCCTCCTGAGTAGCTAGGATTATAGGCATTAACCACCAGTGCCTGGCTCAGCTCCGAGGTTTTAATCTTAAAAGATAGAAAACATCTTTAAATTTTTCCCAGTTTAAAATATTTTTAGATCTGGGATTTCTTTTCTTTTTTTGGGGGGTCCGGTCGTGGGGCCTGAACTCTGGGCCTGGGCGCTGTCCCTCAGCTCTTCAGCTCAAGGCTAGCACCCTACCACTTAAGCCACAGTGCCACTTCTGGCTTTTTTCTTTTGCTTATGTGGTGCTGAGGAATTGAACCCAGGGCCTCAGGCATGCAAGGCAAGCACTCTACCACTGAGCCACCTTCCCAGCCCATGGGATTTCTTTCTTAATTTATTTCTTTGGTGCAGGGGATTGAACCCAGGACCTTCGACATACTAAGTATACAATCTACTGCTGAGCTATAACCCAGTTCTTTTTTTTTTTTAAGTTATTTTCATTCATCTATTTTTTAATAAGCGGAGGGTGGGGGGGTTGTTTGGTTGGTTGATTTTTTTGTTTGGTTTGTGGCACTGGGATTGGATTCAGGGCCTTGTACTTGTTAGATAAGCCCTCTATCACTTGAGCCATGCCCTTAGCCTCATTTTTCTTTAAAATAGCCTAACAAAGCCGGGCGCTGGTGGCTCACGCCTATAATCCTAGCTACTCAGGAGGCTGAGATCTGAGGATCGCGGTTCAAAGGAGAGACCGTGAGACTCCTATCTCCAATAAACCACCAGAAAACCGGAAGTGGCGCTGTAGCTCAAGTGGTAGAGCGCTCGCCTTGAGCTGAAGAGCTGAGGGACAGCGCCCAGGCCCAGAGTTCAAGCCCCACAACCGACAAAAAAAAATAGCCTAACAGACTCAATTGCAGCCTTTGTTAACACATTGAATTCTGGAGCATCATCACTGTCATTCAGATTGGAAAGTTTTTTTCTTGTTCTCTCTTACAGAAACAAAAGAAGAAGAAGAAGCCAGAGGTGTTTAACTTTTCAGCTATTCACTTGATTCATGATCCTCAAGGTATAGAATTGTGACTTCCCAAGTTCCTTGTGTTGTTGTTACCTCTGCCTGTTTAGTTTCTGCTGCCAGGTTTGTCAGGGCACTTAACAAGATCCTCAGCATTTAGTAGGAAACAACAAATACTTAGTTGCTACCACTGTGATATACCATAGAGAATTGATGTTGTCAAGGAATGATTCCCAGTCTATAGCAAAATAAGAATGAACAGGTCTCTCTGAGATTTATTTATAGCACAAAAGTAGTAAGACATTTTACTTGAGTGCAAATTGGAAGTCTATTGTTAGTCTTTCCTTTTACTACTCTGGAATCCAGAAGTTTGGAAAACTATAGTTTTCAAACAAGGCTACCCATTTGAATTAGCTAGAAAATGTATAAATTAAACTGAGCTTGGGTCCTGTGAACCTCAAGATCATGATTTGATTGGAATGGGGTGTGGGTGAATGTTGAAATTTAAATTTGTCTATATTCTAATATCTAGGGACATTTGCTAACCCCTGCTCTGAGTGTTTCTCAAACATGTATGTGCCTACAAATCACCTGGAGATCTGGGGTCAAGTTCACGTTCTGACTCAGTAGGACTTGGGTGGCCTGAGAGTCTGCATGTCTATGAAGGTCTGGGTGGACTGGCTACTGCTGGTCTTTAAAGCATATCTGAGAAGCAGGACCACAGAGCATCTGTCTGCCAATCCATCTAGGTGGTGATGCTAAAAATTTTGAGACTTGGGGCTGGGAAGGTGGCTCAGTGGTAAAGTGCTTGCCTTGCATGCATGAGGCCCTGGGTTCGATTCCTCAGCACCACATAAGCAGAAAAAATGGGAAATGGCACTGTGGCTCAAGTGCTAGAGTGCTAGGCTTGAGCTGAAGAGCTGAGGGACAGCATTCAGACCCCACAACTGGGGGAAAAAAAAATTTGAGACTCCTTAAGGGGTAATTTTGGATAGCAATGATAGTGTATTCACTTAGGTTTGATCTAAACACCCCATCATTGGATCATGCTGTACAAACATGAACCCACAGTGGACTTTTTTGATCTCTTCCATTTCAGATTTTGCAGAAAAACTACTAAAGCAGCTAGAGAGCTGTAAGGAGAGGTTTGAAGTGAAGATGATGCTCATGAACCTGATCTCCAGATTGGTGGGAATTCATGAGGTTTGAATGCTTTGTTTACCTTACTGGGTGTTAGAAGTTAATGTGGTCTTGATGAAAGGAGAGCTATCAGTGTTAGGTAGCACAGCAAATTTATTTCAGTCCCTAAACCATCTGTACTTCAAGTCAGCAGAGCAACACAAACTTCGCATCTGATAAGTAGGAATATTCATTTGAATGTATAGTCAGTTTATGGATAGCCATTTTGTGTTCTATTTTTGTTCTTTGTATTTACTTTATTTCCCAACCCATTTTCCTGAGCCAGCATATCTTGGATGTCTTTACTGACGCTTAACTGTTCAAAGCCTTCATAACTTCCAGATACCTCTAGCAGGAAATTAGGTTTTCTTTAATTATTTTCTTTAATTATTTCTTGCATGTTAAATTAATTGCTAGAGCTCCTTGAGGTGTATATGTATGTATGAGGTATGCATGTGGGAACCTTATACTGCTCTTACACTAATTGCCATTATAGAAAAAAAAAGACATCAAAAACATACAGGCCAAAAAGAAATGGCCATGGAGGTAGTTTCATATCTATTTGATTTCATGACTAGTGCTTCTCTGAGCATCATCAAATATGTTGCTTCCCTTAAGCTTTTTTTAAATAAAGCAAAATGTGGCTGGGTTGTGGTGTGACTCGGTGATGGTGTGTCTACTTAACTTACCCAAGGTCCTACTTTCCTTCCTTTCCCCATCGTCAATTTCACTTTCAGTGAAATAAGAGAAGAAACTTGTTTGTTGAAAGTCATATAGTAAAGACATATCAAATTTAAAGTGAAAACGCACACATGAAAATATTTCCTAAGAAAAACCTTTCTCTTCATTGGTTTTTCTCTATGGTTGTTGTTCCATAAGGGTCACCAAGTCAACTTATACAGATATTTCAGTTTAGAACTGAATTTAAACTTGATGGGAAAGCAAAAGTGATTTGTGGTTTAAGCACAGTTTGAAGAAAACAATATAGGAGTTTTATAGCTGGATATCCATCTTTACATTGAACCACTCTGTTACTTCTAATAACCCAACCTAATTTTGTTCTGTGGCTGAACTAGAAAAAAATGTATTTCCATATGAAGAACATTGACAAAGCGTAGCCCATCTCCAACATTTCATTTCTTGAAGCTAATCATTGCCATTTCCTTTATAACTGGACTCATGTGATTCAAAGTGAGTCTTTTCTTTAAAATATGGAGAGCAATTCTTGCAATGTAGCTGGACTAGTAGAAAATAATAAAATCAATACTGGCAATTTTTGGTGCTCAGATTATACTAGTGCTATTCAGAATTGATTTTTTGTTTGTTTCTTGTTCTCTTTCTAGAAGTAATAGGGATTGAATTCTGGGCCTTACTCCTGCTGGAGGCTATCTCCAGCCCTTTTGTTTATGAAATAGGATCTTTTCTAACTCTTACACAATAGGCTGACACTTAACTCCCAACTCGCTGAGATTACAGGTGTTCAAAAGTATTATGTTTTGCTTGACTGTCTGCCTCTATTCTTCGTTTATTCACTTTTTTCTTCCTTTACATACAAAGATAGCAGTTTAGGGTCAGTTGAAAGAGTTCCTCCTATTAGTTAAACTGAAAACAAATTGAGTCAGCTTTTGACATGACTATTTACTGAGACTGAAAAAAAGAGAAATAATTCCTAGTTAGTTGATCTTGGTGATATAATTGCCTCAGTTTCATTAATGATGAAGTCATTGTGTTCTTTTCGCTACAGCTTTTCCTCTTCAACTTCTATCCCTTTGTGCAAAGGTTTCTGCAGCCCCACCAGAGAGGTAATGTACTGTTTGTCTGTTCTCTCAGTAGCCTTAGAATACCGTCTAGGCTGTTGGTCTAGAATCACTGAAGAAAGATAGATTTAGGAGTTCTGCAGCAAGAGAAAGGAAGAGAGCCCTGTTTTTTTTCTAGAATGGGCCATGGATTAGTTGCTATGTTCGTTAACTGTAAGAAATCACTGTTTTTAAAAAGTAATAATAAAAAATAGGTTTCTCAGTCTTTTTGTGGCATAAAAAATGCGTATCAAAAATTATCCAAGTATATGGGCTGGGAATGTGGCTTAGTAGTAGAATAGTTGCGTAGCATGCTTGAAGCCCTGGATTCGATTCCTCAATACCACATGAACAGAAAAAGCTGGAAGTGATGCTGTGGCTCAAGTGGTAGAGTGCTAGCCTTAAAAAAAAGCTCAGGGACAGTACACAGGCCCTGAATTCAAGCCCCAGGACAGGCAAAAAAATGAAAATTAAAGAAGTTTCACCCTTTATCATAACTGGGTGACAACTGTTTTCATTGCCTTTACATGTCTAGCATACCCAATTTAAAAACATTAGAACAGAAAAAAATACGATGTTTGCCTTTGGAGTCTACCCAGGTTAGGAAAGGAATGAAAATTGAGGATCTAACATGAACCAAGCACTGGGCTAAGTGTTTTCCATACATTTTCACATCCTCACATGAATGCTTTGAGGTATAGAAAGAAAAAAAGAAGAGCAAGCCACTCATAATAAATGCCACTCTCTTTTGCTAAACAGTAACTCTGCTGCCCATTTGAATAGAGAATATATGTACATTTTTATTTGTGTTTATTCATTCATTCACCATATATTGGATGATTTCTCTGGTAGCATTGCACCAAACACTAAGAATTCGACACTGACCAAAAAGGGAAAACCTTTCCCTCATGGACTTTATGTTCTAGAGACACAGACAGTGCTCTGTATAAGAGTGTGTGGTCTGGAAAGACCTTTTGCTATGTAGGAACCTGAAGGAGGCCCAAGGGAGCCATGCAGGCAGGCAGAGTAAGCAGCAGTAGGTAGCAATACGTCTGTATTTTTTTGCTGGGTTGGGTTTTGAGAGAGAAACATTAACAGCACCCTTTCTTATCTCTTACATTTTCAGAAGTAACTAAAATCCTTCTGTTTGCCGCACAAGCCACTCACCAGCTTGTTCCCCCAGAGGTGAGAATTCCTAACTGTCTTCTGGACCTTGTCTATGCAGAACCAGAGCCATGTCACTTCCCAAGGTTACTGTCCCTTCTCCTTGGTTGAAGTAAGCAGAGGACAAACTTTCTGATGGTACTAGCATTTGAACTAAGGCCCTTGTACTTCTCAGACTGGTGAAATACTCTGAGCAGTGCCTCCTGCTGTTTTTCACTAGTCATTTTTAGGATAGGGTTTGTTTCTCACCTGGGTATATGCCTGAGCCAAGATCTATGTACTTTAGATTTCCTATTGTTAAGAAGTTTGTTGTGCCAGGTGCCAGTGGCTCACACCTATAATCCTAGCTACTCAGGGGGCTGAGATCTGAAGGTTGAAAGCCAGTGAGGGCAGGAAAGTTCCTGAGACCTTTATATCCAATTAACCACCAGAAAATTGGAAGTGGCACTGTGTCTCAGTGGTAGAGCACTAGACTTAAAGGAAAAAGCTCAGGAACAGCACCTAGGCCATGAGCTCAAGCCCCATGACTGGCAAAAATTTTAAAAAGTTCAGTTGTACAGTTCTTACAAAGTCAAATTTCTTTGGAACAAGTTGAAAATTCTGACTTTGTGCAATGACAATTTAAGACCAGAAAAGGTCAAGAATATTAGTAAGGCTGGAGTGGTTCATGCCAATTACTTGAAAGACAAAGAATAAGGAAATCAAGGTCCAAGAACAGTCTGGGCAAAAGGCACAGGATCCTGTTCAAAGTGGGTGTGGGGGGAGAGGTAGTGTTGCTCAAGAGATAGAGTACCTGTCTATCAAGTATGAGGCTGTGAGTTCAAACACAGTAACCCTAGTGTGTGTTTGTGTGTATGTATATGTTTGCAGTTATTATTTTTCAAAGATACCATTCCTTGCGTTGATTAAGAACATTGAAGTAGGGACTGGGAAGGTGGCTCAGTGGTAGAGCGCTTGCCTTGCATGCATGAGGCCCTGGGTTCCATTCCTCAGCACCACATATGCATAAAGAAAAAAGCCGGAAGTGGCACTGTAGCTCAAGTGGTAGAGCGCTAGCCTTGAGCTGAAGAGCTGAAGGACAGTGCCCAGGCCCAGAGTTCAGGCCCCACGACTGGACCCCCCCCCCCAAAAAAAAAGAACATTGAAGTATAGAACCTGATTTTGACCTCGGAGACTGACTGAACACCAAAGAGTTTGATTCCTTCCAACTCCTAAATGAAGGGAGAGGGTTGGGGGGATTTTTTGTTGTTTTGTTTTTTGGTCAGTCATGGGGCTTGAACTCTGGCCTTGGGCGCTGTTCCTCAGCTCTTCAGCTCAAGGCTAGCACTCTACCACTTAAGCCTCAGCACCTCTTCCAGTTTTTTCTGTTTATGTGGTGCTGAGGCATTGAACCCAGGGCCTCATGCATGCAAGGCAAGCACTCTACCACTGAGCCACCTTCCCAGCCTGAGAGGGCTGTTTTTCCAGTCTTCTATTTGAACATAGGCATTTCACTTATACTTAATTCATTTCTCTTTTTGTTCTCACACAGATCATTCAATCATTGCTCATGACTGTGGCCAACAATTTTGTTACTGACAAGAACTCGGGGGAAGTCATGACTGTGGGGTATGTAGAACATGGTGGGTGTAGTAAACATGTCACCGTTCCCTCCTCCCCCTCTTCTCCCCCCCTCACCCCAGTACCATGGTTTGAACTCAGGATTTTGCACTTGCTCTACTTGTTCTCTACCACTTGAGCCACACCTCCAATCTAGCCTTTTCTGATTTTTTTTTCTCATTTTTATTATCTTTTAAGTATTTGCATAAAGGGGTTTTAATTGCATGCTAGTTTATATTATCTGATTATTTTGGAGATGACATCTAGTAAACTTTTCTTTTTTTCTTTTTTATTTTTTTGGGTCCAGTCATGGGACCTGAACTCTGGGCCTGGGTGCTGTCCCTCAGCTCTGCAGCCCAAGGCTGGTGCTCTACCACTTGAGCCACAGCGCCACTTCCAGCTTTTTTTTTCTTTTTGCTTACGTGATGCTGAGGAATCGAACCCAGGACCTCAGGCATGCAAGGCAAGCGCTCTACCACTGAGCCATCTTCCCAGCCCTCTAGTAAACTTTTCTGCTTAAGTTGTCCTTAATCCTTACTCCTCCAGATTACAGTCATAAGCCACTGGCGCCTGTTTTTATTTTACTGGCTAGAATTTTAAGGAGAGAATCAGAGAAGTATATTTTTCCTTCTAATCAGAAATTTGTCCTTTTACAATTTTACTCCATATGAGTAATTTCTGGACTAAGAATTTCCTCTTCTCTCTCTATGAGTATATCTTATGTATCACAAGTGATTTAATATTGAAGCACTTTGATTTGAGGGCAGTTCAGTGGCCTTTTTGATTAATCCAAAAACACTTAAAGAGAGAGTAAGCACTGCTGAGTGCCAGTACCTCATAACTCTACTCCTAGCTGTTCAGAAGGCTGAGCCAACTTGGGCAAAAAAGCCATGAGACTCTTTATCTCTAGTTAGCTACCCAAGAAGCCAGAAGTGAATCTGTGGCTCAAGTGGCAGAGTGCTAGCCTTGAGCAAACAAAGTCAAGGACAGCGCTCAAGTTCAAGCCAAAACTGGCAGAGAGAGAGTCAGCCTTGATTCAAGGATCATCTAAATTGTCCTTAGTAAGACATGCTAACTAGTTACATTTTATCGTCCTTGGATAAGCTTACTGAACCAATCGCTTGAAGATCTGTAATCTTTCTTTCCTGACCTAGTCCTTCCCTCCTTGGAGCTGTCAAGTAAACAAATGCTGCCTTGCCTTGCCGTTTCACACTGTTCCTTCCTCTGCAAGAAAGGTAGTGGCAGTCACTGTCTCACTGAAAGCACTCCAAGGCTGCCACGCTCACATACCTTACCATGCTGCAATTTTAGAGTCCTGCACTATATAAAACCCAGCTTGTATTCCTTTTACTTTCATTTTCTTAGGTTAAACTACAGAGAATTGCTATCTTATTTTTTTAATTCATTTTTCCTTTCCCAGAATCAATGCTATAAAAGAGATAACAGCTCGATGTCCTCTAGCCATGACTGAAGACCTTCTTCAAGACCTGGTTCAATATAAGACACATAAAGATAAGAGTAAGTTGCATGCTACTTTCCATAGGGCAAAGAGTTCTGTATGACTATGGTCTTTTTGCTTCAGAATTTCTAACCAAAGGTTTTATTTTATAGATGTAATGATGTCTGCTAGAACTTTGATTCAGCTCTTCCGGACACTGAATCCTCAGATGTTGCAGAAGAAATTCCGGGTAGGTGAAACAGGCTTACGTTGGCCTAAAGGTTATGGTTCCAGCTAGGTGCCATGGCCCAAGCATGTAATCCCAGCTGTCCAAGAAACAGAGATCTGGAGGATTAGAGTTTGAGGCCAGCCAGTGCAAAAAAAAAAAAAGTTAGCATGACCCATGACCCCTTTTCAATATGGCACATGGTGTTGTCATCCCAGCTATATAAGAATGATTATGGGCAAGGCCTGCCTAGGCAAAAACATAATAAAACTCTACCTTAAAAAATAACTAACGCAAAAGAGGCTGGAGGCATAGCTCCACTGAACTACCTGCCTACTAAGCATGAAGTTCTTACTATCTTTTGTACCTTGAAAGCTTTTATGGCTAACCAATTGGAAGCTTAAGTACAATCAGTTTCTGATGCCAGCCTTGACAGCTCCTCCCCAGCCAGCTTCCTTCTCTTTCAAATGAGTAGGGTACATGTATGTAACAGAAAGAACAGATATTTTATATCCATAACTGCACATGTCTGAATTTGGATCAGAAAAGAATGAGGAAAATAGTAGACAGCATTCTGGCTGGATTTATTTAGACCAGAGACATAAGCAGACTTATTTGACTGCCTCCATTTTTTTTATGGCTCTCCTCTCAGAACTTCTAATTCTGGACAGTATTGGCAGTGATCACATATTTACCATCCCTCTTCCTTTAGGGTAAACCTACAGAAGCTTCTGCAGAAGCAAGAATACAGGAATATGGAGAATTAGATGCTAAAGACTACATTCCAGGAGCTGAGATTCTGGAAGTTGACAAAGAAGAGAATGCTGACAATGATGAAGGTTCATTTTCCTTTGCTTTCCTTCCCTCTTTCCCCTTTTCTTTTCCCTTTCCACTTCGTTCCTTGCCATCTGCACTGCACCTTCAGACCCTGAAGGTTTGTTTACATTTCACTGTTACTCATAACAAAACCTGGCAGGCCTGGACACCTTGTCAGGAATAGTGAACAGACCCAAGAGCAAACAGCTGTAACACTGCCTTATAGGTCAAGTAGAACCACTTCATTGAAGTGTCTGCAAGAGTCTTTCATACCCAGAATCTTACGCTCAGTTTTCTGAATAACTGAAACTCCTTTCTCACATAAGCCTAAATATATCTGGATGAGTTTATCAGATACTTGCTATAGTACAAGTTTCAGTATACAAGTTTGATTTTGATGGCCACAATTGGTTCAGTGTCACTTAACTTTGGGAGTCAATTCTTCTGAGTGTGAGGGCTAGAGGAAGTGATTGATTATAAGGTTTGGGCTCGGGCTGCGAAGGTGTCTTAGTGGTAGACTGCTTGCCTGGTATGCATGAGGTCCTGGGTTCTATTCCTCAGCATCACCCTATGCAGAAAAAGCTGGAAGTGGCGCTGTGGCTTAAGTGATAGAGCACTAATCTTGAGCTGAAGAGCTGAGGGACAGCGCCCAGGCCCAGAGTTCAGGCCCCACAACCAACTTTAAAAAAAAAAAAAAAAAAAAAACGAGTTTTAGGCTGACAGAAAATCCTGGTCAGTTCTTGCTTAGTTCTCCTTAAACTTTGACTAAAATGGTATGGCTTATTTAACATTATTGCTCAATTCTTGGTCAGTGGACTATGAGTTGTCACACTTGCTGACTGTTCAACAGAGGCAGTTGCATGACTGAGCCCCTTCTCACACAGATGGATGGGAGAGTGCCAGCCTCAGTGAGGAGGAGGAGGAGGATGCTGATGGTGAATGGGTTGATGTCCACCACTCTTCTGATGAAGAGCAGCAAGAAATTGTAAGTCATAAGATTTCCTTTTACAAGTGCATCACTCAGATGTTGACTGAGATGTGAGTTTTGCTGGGACCTGTGGGGAAGTTTGGATTTGTATGGAGCTCAGAACTCTCACTTGAGCCAGTAGCCACATGACTTGTATTTTCTGAAGGCCAAAAAACTGAACAGCATGCCCATGGAGGAGCGTAAAGCCAAGGCCGCAGCCATCAGCACAAGTCGAGTTTTAACTCAAGAAGACTTCCAAAAAATCCGAATGGCCCAGATGAGGAAAGAACTAGATGCTGCCCCTGGAAAAGCCCAAAAGAGGAAATACATTGACATTGACAGTGATGAGGATTCCAGGTAAAATGCATATCCAGTGGTCTCCACTCTGCTCACCCAGTAATGAAGCATTAGGAACAGGAGTTCCACCTTTTAGCATAATTTATTTTCCCCTCTCCACAGAGGTGAATTGCTGTCTCTTCGGGACATTGAGCGCCTTCATAAAAAGCCAAAGTCTGATAAGGAGACAAGACTAGCAACTGCAATGGTAAGTGGGACATTGTTTTCCTCATTCCTAAAACCAATTAAAATATAATCTACAAGTGTGTACCTATAGGTGTTTTGTTAGTCATGAGGCTTGGACTCTGGTCTTGGGCGCTGTCCTTCAACTCAAGGTGAGCGCTCTACTGCTTGAGCCACAGCTCCACTTCTGGTTTTCTGGTGGCTAATTGGAGATAAGAGTCTCATGGACTTTCTTTGCCTGTGCTGGCTTTGAACTGCAATCCTCAGATCTCAGCCTCCTGAGTAGCCAGGATTACAGGTGTGAGCCACCAGATCCCGGCTGGTTGTTGGATTTTTTTAGTGCTACAAAAGTATAAGTTAGTATACATGTATTTGATGCTGTATTGGGGGAGTTTTGACAACTACATGCAGCCATGTACCCACAAAGCAAGATACAAAGCCCAGAAAAGCAGTACAGCATATTCACAGTGTCAGGAAGCTCAGTACATAAGTAGTAGGACTGTTTACAGACTTGGCTCCTGGCTTATGCTATGGTCATTCATGTTTGTGTCCTGACTGCATTACTTCCCGTACCTTAACTTGTGTTATACACCATCTTCCTCTCACTTTCTGCATTCCATTTACACTGAAACTTGTTTAGGTAATTTTAGAAACCCTAGTTTGTTCTCCTTTTTTTATATACTGTACCTCCTTCCTGTAACACTCTACCCTTTCCCCCACAATGCAAAACAGAACAGCTTACTTGGCTCCAGGGAGCCCCTCTGATCTCAGTGGTCTAGATTATGAACTCTCCTTACTCAGTTGAAATCATGCCAGCCATTTCTCCATTGAGTCCAGGGAGCAAGGACTTTACCTACCACTTATGGCCTAGCACAGAGGGTACATTTGCACTGATGAATAAACTTCCAAAGTGTGTTAAGAAGAAATGTCAATTTTTTTTTTGTGCTGATAGGCTGGAAAGACAGACCGGAAGGAATTTGTGAGGAAGAAAACCAAAATAAATCCATTTTCAAGCTCTACAAATAAAGAAAAGAAAAAACAGAAGAACTTCATGATGATGCGATACAGCCAGAATGTTCGATCAAAAACCAAGCGTTCCTTCCGAGAAAAGCAGGTGAGTTCAGCTTGAAGTCTAGGTGGCAAGAACAGTTAGCTCTAAGAGCACTATACATTTGAAACATGCCTTGTCCCCTGAGCACCACATGCTGAGAGCACTGTGGGGTCATTGAACTCTCACAAACATACTGAGAGCTTGGAGAGGGGGGAAGCAGACAGAGCATGTAATCCCACCAGAGTCAATCCTGTGACCAAAGGGATCACCCCATTTTTTCTTCTCTATAAGTAAAGGTGAAAAAACTAGATGGAGGTTCCTTTCATGATAAAATTCTGTCATTTGATCTGTGAACATTCTGGGATTGACAGATGTTAAGTATAGCTAGTTTTTATACCTGCTTTTTGAAAAGCAGTTCTCTTATTGGTGCAATTTTTTCTGTATGTGTCCTTTTGCAAAAATATTTTATGTGCCAGGCACCAGTGGCTTACGCCTGTAATCCTAGCTGCTCAGGAGGCTAAGATCTGAGGATCGCAGTTCAAAGACAGCCCGGGCAGGAAACTCTGTGAGACTCTTGTCTCCAGTTAACCACTAGAAAACCAGAAGTGGTGCTGTAAGAGTGCTAGCCTTGAGCTGAAGAGCTGAGGGACAGCACCCAAGCTCAGAGTTCAAGCCCCACGACCAACCAAAAAAAAAAAAAAAGTCATGGGGCTTGAATTCTGGGGCCTGGGTGCTGTCCCTAAGCTCTTCAGCTCAAGGCTAGCACTCTACCACTTGAGCTACAGTGCCACTTTGGTTTTCTGCAGGCTAATTGGAGATACAAGTTATGGACTTTCCTGCCTGGGTTGGCTTTGAACTACAATCCTCAGATCTCAGCCTCCTGAGCAGATAGGATTACAGGCATAAGCCACCAGCACCTGGTTAGGATTTCATTTTGTTGACTTTCTGGGCTTTGATAAGGTGGGGTGGTAGTGGTGGTGTTTTGACACAGGATCTGTCTGATTGTGTAATTCAAGCAGGCCTCAAACTTGTGATCTTCCTGCTTTAGCCTCCCAAGTGCTGGCATTACATTAGATGACTATCATGTCCAACCTCCAAAAATTATTTTAAAATTATTTTTATTTTTTATTTTATTTCCTTGTGCTGAGGTTTGAACTCAGGGCATCTGGCTTATTATAAGGCAGGTGCTCTATTTTGAGCCATCCCTCCAGCCCTTTTGGCTCTGGTTATTTCTGAGATAGGTTCTCACTTTTTGCCCAGGCTGGCTTGGAGTGAGGGCTTCTTATTTATGCTTCTACTGTAGCTAGAATGACAGGTACACAATGCCATGCCCAGCTTCCTCTGTTGAGATGGGGGTCTCATGTATTTTTCCAAGCTAGTCTTGAACTCTAATCCTCTCAGTAGTCACTTGCTGAGTAGCAGATATGAACCTCCAATATCTAGTACAAACTAATTTTTAAGCAAAAGCTATGGATACCATGTTAAAGTTCAAAATTATAAAGATGGGACTGGGGAGATAGCTTATTGGTAAAGTGCTTGCCTTGCATGCATGAGGCCCTGGGCTAGCACCAGATATGCAGAAAAAAACCGGCAGTGGCACTGTGGCTCAAGTGGTAAGGTGCTAGCCCTGAACTGAAGAGCTGAGGAACAGTGCCCAGGCCCAGAGTTCAGGCCCCATGACCAACAAAATATAGATAGATAGATAGATAGATAGATAGATAGATAGATAGATAGATAGATAGATAGATAGATGTTTAAAAGTTTGTAGGACAAAGAGTAGTCTTTAGGAATTAATAGACTAACATTCACACTTTTAAAATGTACAGTTTGGCCTATTTTTTTTTGAAAATTTGAATTTATTTTTGAATATCACTAATATTCTGGTTTGGGAGGAGTTATTTAAAAAAAAATCTCTTGGGCTGGGAAGGTGGCTCAGTGATAGAGTGCTTGCCTTGCATGCCTGAGGCCCTGGGTTCGATTCCTCAGTACCACATAAGCAAAAAGGGGGAAAAATGCCAGAAGTGGCGCTGTGGCTCAAGTGGTAGAGTGCTAGCCTTGAGCTGAAGAGCTGAGGGACAGCGTCCAGGCCCCACAACCAGACCCCCCAAAAAAAAACAAAAAATTCTCTAAAGCTGGGCACAGGTGGCTCACGCCTGCAATCCTAGCTACTCAGGAGGCTGAAATCTGAGGATTGCAGTTCAAAGCCAGCCCGGGTAGGAAAGTCCATGAGATTCTTACCTCCAATAAACCACTAGAAAACTGGAAGTGGAGCTTTGGCTCAAGTGGCAGAGCGCTTGCCTTGAGCTGAAGAGCGCAGGGACAGTGCCCAAGCCCAGAGTACAAGCCCCATGACTGACCAAAAAAAAAGTTATTGTTTTAATTTAGATAGCCTGTCAGCCCATAGTACTAAGATCCTCATATACCAGAGAAATATGTTTGTTTTCTTCTTCCAGCTCGCGCTTCGAGATGCACTCTTGAAAAAGAGGAAAAGAATGAAGTAACTTCAAGCCTATTTTTCTCCCAGGGAGACTAAGTTTGTGTTCTTACTCTGAATATTTACAAATCAAGAACATGTGTCTATAATAAAAAGTTAAGAAGCAGTATATTGAGGCTGGGAATGTGGCCTAGCATGCATGAAGCCCTAGGTTCCCATTCCTCAGTACCAGAAAACACAAAAGCTGGAAATGGGGCTGTTGCTCAAGTGGTAGAGTACTAGCCTTGAGCAAAAGAAGCTCACAGTCAGTGCTCAGGCCTTGAATTCAAGCCCCAGCACTGGCCAAAAAATAAAAAAATAAAATGTGTGTGTGTGTGTTACACGCACAATGAAAATAAGTCTGAAAGCAGTTGATGTTTTTAATTTGGAAGACAGGTGACACATCAGTGTTTAAAATGTAAATAGTAGTGGTGTTATAGACTGGTTTTCATTTAACATTTGTACAGAGAAATTATGAAGTGCCTACAATTGTCACTGTGAGTCTCGAGATGCCCCTCTCACACAGCCATTCACAGGTAGTGGAGTTCAGGTGTGTATTCATGAGATTACAGTGCAGTGTAAATAGTGCTTTGTGGCGTGGGTCCATGTCTCAAATGATAGACATGGACTGGTCTGCAGGGAGAGGAGTTGTATAGTCTCTTAAAACAAAATAGGACAGTGTTACAAGAGTAAGAGGGTCTTACTTGTAAATAGGCTTACCTGATGAGAACAGGTCTCTGCTGTACAGATTTTGGGGAGACATTTTAGTTCTTTTAGTTGATTCAAAAGATTACAAACAATACTTTCAAAATTTTATGTAAAGATTTTTGTGTAAGATTTCACCTTTAAATTGCCTTAACTATAAATAATAATTTTGAAATGTCTGTTTTGTCATTTGAACTTCTGCTCTTTTTGTTGTGTGGTTTGGGGGGTTTACGCTGTGTTATTTTGGCAGTGCTAAAGGTATGAATGCAGGGCCTCTGTGTTAGGCAGGTGTTCTACAACGGGGGCTACGCAAGCCCTGGGCTGCCCTCCTCTTCCATACTTTGTCTGCCTTGTTCTCAAGAATAAGTTTGTAGTGTCAAGCTAGTACTCTAGTGCATGTGTACTGCTGTGTTTTCTAACAGGCCTGCCAGAGTCCATCTCAAGGGACTGTCTGCATGCAGGTTGTTGCATTTAAAAATAGTGTGGTGCCTTTTGCCTCCAATTTCTTAGATGATCTTAGAATGGATGAAAACATCATTCTGTGTTGCTTCAAATTAGAGTAAAGGGCAGTTTTCCTCTCAGCAGGGGAAGCAGCTTCTAAGGTTTCTCTTCTTAATCCCTTTCTACTTTCTTCTGTTCAGATTTAGCTTTAGTTGACATTTTGTGACTTTGCCTAAGATGGGATTGGTTGAGCTGACCATCGCCTCCAACTTATGTTCTCACAGGAAGTATCCCATACAAATTTTATATAGTTCAGACATGAAACTGTTCCACTTTTTTATTTATTGCTAGTCCTGGGGCTCGAACTCAGGGCCTGGGCACTATCTCTGAGCTTCTTTTGCTCAAGGCTAACTAGCACAGTGCCATTTGAGCCACAGTGCCATTTCTAGCTTTTCCTGTTTATGTGGTACTGAGGAATTGAACCAAAGCTTCATGCATGCTAGACAAGCACTCTACCACTAAACCACATTCCCAGCCCCCTCCTTTTTTAAATTCTTAAAGGAGATATTTCTTCTTCATGAGTCCAGAAAGCGAATAAAATTCACTGAACAGGAGCTAGGGTCCACAACTTGGCTGTATGTTTGTGTTAGAAGTTTCCTCTTTGCCCTACATTTTTCACTCAGCAAGAAGCCAAAGTCTATTCCTTATCCTAACTAGTTTTTCTACTATGGCTCCAGTGTTCTTAGCCTGAGGCATGTAATGCAAAATAGAAAGATACTGGCTTAAAAACTACATCTTTAACTGTTTTAGTTCTTCAATCCTAGCCTCTTATTTTTATCTGATTCCTTTTATTACTGTACAAATATTCTCTTGAGAATTTTCCTGTTTGCTGTTAAAATATCAATTTGTGTAGTCAGTCACCAGTGGCTCATGTCTAATTCTAGTTTTGAAGAAGACTGAGATCGGAGGACCAAGGTTCAAAGTGAGTCTGGGCAGAAAAATCCTTGAGACCCTATCTCCAAAATGAAAAATGCAGTCCTGCAAAAATTCAGCACTTGGGGTTGGGAAGGTGGCTCAGTGGTAGAGTGCTTGCCTTGCATGCATGAGGCCCTGGGTTCAGTTCCTCAGCACCACATAAGTAGAAAAAGCCAGAAGTGGTGCTATGTGGCTCAAGTGTTAGAAGCTAGCCTCGAGCTGAAGAGCTGAGGGACAGCACCCAGGCCCAGAGTTTGGACCAAAAAAAAAAAAAAACCAAGCAAGGGACTTTCCCTCATAGGATGACAGGGAGGTCCCCTTTCCTGGCCTCTAGGAGTCTGCTAATTCTTCCTACTTACTTTCAACGCTTTCCTTTCACCTTCAACTAAACTTAGCTTGTTTACCTTTAAAAAGTTAAAAAAAAAAAAAAAAGCCAAGCAAGATCAAGAGGCCCTGAGTTTTAAGCTTGGGTACTGATACAAAAGTAAAAATACCAGTTTCTCACAGATTGAATATAGACAGCAAAGACCAAGTGATCTTGCAGAATGACTTTAACCTTGAAGAAGTCATCAGTTTCTGAACTTTTTAACTTATTCTCAGCTGTATCCCTGAGTGTACTAGCTCAATGTCTTATATAGTGCATAAGGCCAGGCATGCCCTGATTATGAAGCTTCTATCTGTAAATAACATTGTAACCTACCTCACTAATTCATTTGAAGAAGTAATGTTTATAAGCATATTATCTGCCACACATAAACTTTCAGTAAATATCTTATCACAGCCATTGTGGTGTTAAAATTTTACCTTGTGCTTAATTTACTTGGAACAATTAAAATTACTACTAGTGTTTACTTGTCAGATTGTTTCTGGACTAGTTTGAACTATGAAATGAATATTGAATGCTCACCTCGTACGAAGCACTCCACTAGATGCTAGTGGGCTGTATAAACAATGTTTGTGCCATAATAGAAACTTTGGGTCTCATAAAGGGAATAGATTTATAAAATAACTTTATAATACAACTTTTAGGGCTATCCAAAAGGCACAGTTACAAAAAAGTAACCATATGAAATGATAGATGATCTTGTTGTCTTGATTCATCCATTTCATTAGAGATCCAAGTGTCCTTGTGACTCATGCTTGCAACCCCAGCTACTCTGGAAGCTGAGATGAAGAGGATTGAGTTTCAAGATCATCCCAGGCAAAAAAAATCCTTGAGACGCACCTCCAAACTAACCAGCCAAAATCCAGCTGGAGATGTGGCTTAAGTGGTAGAATGCTAACCTACCAAGTAAGCTAGGGTGACAAGTACAAGGCTCTAAATTCAAAGCCTAGTATTTGGGGTGTGGTTTAAGAAGTCCATCGCATCATATTCATAATTTTTAGCCAAAAGGCACAGCATAGGCCAAGAGCATCATAAGGAAGGATTGTGCTCTTTAGCTGAAGGAGGGGAGAGAAGGCATCTGTTAACAAGCATGCTTACAGTGGGCAGAAGCATATATTTCTGAGTCATTGAAAAGTTATATTTAAAAGGTTGACATGATTCTATAGGTGATATAGAAATGTTATAGTTGATAGAGATTTTGGTTTTCGTATTCTAATTTGAAACTAGGATGTATAGAGGACATTACCTTGCAATTGTTTTAACTAGGATGTTTAATTATATTGCTTTTAAAGCTATTTCAGAGGACACTGAAAAGGCTGGTAATAGATAACATAGTTTTCCTAAGTGCCATCCTTTCATTTGTTGCTTACATGTCTATAATATAATTTTATTGTTGTTATTGTGTTATACAGAGGGTTTTGCTTGCATATTTTTTTAATGTACTTGCTGAGATTTAAGAAAAATCTAGATTCTGAGTAAAAGATAAGGAAAAGACCTGGACTTTTTCTCTTCCAAATTGAAGGATCTGGAAATAACCATCCCTCCCCTGCTGTGGTCTTAGGTATACTTAAAAATACCAAGCAAAGCAGAGAACACAGCTGATTCTGTGTTATTTGAATCACATACCTTCTGTTTCTGTAGGTCATTTTTATATGTCATGCCCTTCTGCAGATTCTGCTTTCATGTTTTGTCAGTCTAAACATGTAAATGACTGAAATATTACTGTCTACATGATAGAATATTGTACAACCATTAAAAGTGTTGACAGTGGGAAATATTGGGGTTATGTGTAGTGTTTTCTTTCTGAATCTTAGTGTGTACATGTTTTTTAGTACATCATTTGTGTAACAAAAGAACTTTTTTGAGGCAAGGAATAAACTGGGAGTGATTCATATGAAATTTCTCTATTCTTAGAAGGGGCATGAACTCTGTATGTCTGTGTGCCCCTGTTGGTTGTACTGAGGAGGAAACCTAGGGACCTACCCGAGAGCATGCAGGTATTCTGTGCTGAGCTCTGGCCCCACCCTTGAATATGCACCCTGTGCTGTTTCCCCTTGTTTTTGTTCATTAGCTTTTGTTTTTGGTGCCAGTATCAGGGCTTGAACTCAGATTTAAAGCAGTTTTCCTTAGCTTTTACACTAGAGCTCGACTTTACCATCTTGCCTTAAGCAGGGAAAAGACTTCCTGAAATCTGGATAGACGATAGTTTCCTAGGTACTTTATCTTTTTTCATTACTCATCCTCCATTAGTCATAACAGCGAGGCTACCACATGACAAAAAGACCTCTTGTTTCCTCCCATCTTGCTGCTTACACTTGGCACTGTCCCTCAAACTGCCACATATCTATTAGCAGAAAACACGATCTAACACTGCTCAAAACCCTCCCAGCATCCACACATACACACCTCCAGCAGGGATACATGTTTGGATCTAGTGCCCTATAACTTGGTGATTTGAAGCAATGAACATTGTGAGACGTTGGTGAGTGCATGGCTGGGACAAGAGGACCCACTTCTGGTGGCTCACATGCTTCACAGGAAGCCTTGGTTCCGTGCTGGCTCTTGGTAAGAGGCTTTGATTACCTCAGCATCGCACATCATGGGACTTGAATTCAGGGCCTGGATGCTGTCCCTGAGCTTTTCTGCTCAAGGCTATAGTCCTCTACCATTTTGAGCCACAGCTCCACTTCTGGTTTTCTGGTGGATAGTTGGAGATAAAGAGTCTCATTCCTGAGCTGTCTTTTTTTTTTTTGTCGGTCGTGGGGCTTGAACTCTGGGCCTGGGTGCTGTCCCTCAGCTCTTCAGCTCAAGGCGAGCGCTCTACCGCTTGAGCTACAGCACCACTTCTGGTTTTCTGGTGGTTTATTGGAGATAGGAGTCTCACGGTCTCTCCTGCCCGGGCTGGCTTTGAACCGCAATCCTCAGATCTCAGCCTCCTGAGTAGCTAGGAGTACAGGTGTAAGCCACCAGCTCCAGGCCCTGGACTGTCTTTGAACTGTGATCCTTTGATCTCAGCCTCCTGGGTAGCAAGGATTACAGGTGTGAGCCACCTGCACCAAGGATGCAAATGTTTTCATAAAGCTACTTAAGTGTTTTGACATATGACAGCTTCCCCTAGAGTTGGAAATCTAGGGGAAAGAAGGAGACTGCAGGGTCTTTTGTAAGCTAGCCTTGAGAGTCAGGAACTGTCAATCACTTGGGCTACGTTCTGTCCATTAGAAGCAAATCTAGCCCATAGTCAGGAGGGGAATTGGGCTCCACCTTTTGAAGAGAAATGTACTGAAAATATATGAATATATTTTAAAACTATCACTGCTGAACTTTGAAAGTACATGTTTACAAATACAAATACTTTTTTTTTTTTTGGTCAGTCCTGGGGCTTGAACTCTGGGCCAGGGCACCATCCCTGAGCTTGTTAGCTCAAGGCAAGCACTACCAATTGGACCACAGTGCCACTTCTGGTTTTCTGGTGGTTACTCTCATGCATTTTCCTGCCCAGGCTGGCTTTGAACCATGATCCTCAGATCTCAGCTTCCTGGATAGCTAGGATTACAGGCATGAGCCACCAACACCTGGCTTGATACATTTTTTTTTTGGTATTGTCTACAGAGCTTTTTTATTTTTATTTTATTTATTTATTTTTTTTTTTGGGCCTGAACTCTGGGCCTGGGCGCTGTCCCTCAGCTCTTCAGCTCAAGGCTAGCGCTCTACCACTTGAGCCACAGCGCCACTTCCGGCTTTTTTCTTTTTGCTTATGTGGTGCTGAGGAATCGAACCCAGGGCCTCATGCATGCAAGGCAAGTGCTGTACCACTGAGCCACCTTCCCAGCCCCAGAGCTTTTTTAAACTGCCATTTCTGAACCGGAGATAAGCTCTGAAATCAGTATGTAGCATCTCTTGAAACCAGAAAGGGGAGCCCATAGTTTCGTGATTGCAGATCTCTCTTAGTTTTTGCTAACACTTATGTATAACACATAACATCTCTCAATGGGAGAGGAAGATATGGTATTAAAATGATGTCTTAACCTTAATTGTGAATAACATTTTACCACACTTGATTTATTTCCTCATTTGTGTGACCTTATGTGTATTATGAAGATCCTGTTTTGTTCTACTGGATTTCACTATATCCCAGCCTTGGTTTAAACTTTTCATACTCCCAATACTCGTCTCAGCCTCTTGTGTGCTGGGATTATAGAGTACCGAGATTACAGACATACACCACTATAACAGACTTGTATTGGTATTTTGGAGATGGGAGTCTCTTTTGTCCAGGCTGTTCTCAAACTCTTAGGTTCAAATGATCCTCTTCAGTTTCCTGAGTAGTTAGACCTATAGATTGGAACCACCACACCCAGCCTATTTTGAAAGGTTTTATTCCTTTTTTCTTTGCAGTGCTTAGAATCAAACTGAGAACCTTGTGCACACTAGCCAAGCGCTTTTATCACTGAATTATATATATCCATTTTATCTTGTTTTTACCCCTTATACTCAGGGGGCTTCATACTCCTTGTTTGCTTGCTCACGGGCTGCACTCTACCAGTCCAGCCAGGCTTCCAGCCCAGCTTTTTGCTGGTTATCTTGGAGATAGAAGTGCGAAGACTTTTCTGCTCGGCTGACATTAAACTTCCTCTAGGTCTGAATAGCTAGGATTACATGTGTGAGCCACCAGCACTCAGCTCATTCATAATTGTCCTAAATTGACTGGATTTTTTTATAATCTAAGCACACCTTTAGAACTCAGGTAATCTATTTGTTCCATTGACCCATCTGTCAATGCACTTTGCTTCAGGGGGTAACTGCTGTTACTCTAGCCTCACAGATGAGCAAGTTAAGCCTGGAAAGTTGGAAGGCTGAAGTCTCAGCCAGTGGGAACCATTAGCCTTTGAGAGTGTGCAGTGGACTTCGCTCTGGGTAGGTCATGTCTAGGGTTGGGGAAAGCTCTGGAAAAACAGCTCTTGCTGATCATGCTTGACCACTGGCACTGGCACTGATCTTTATTGATGTCTGGCAAGGAATCACAGTGAACGTTACTGCTGGTCTTCACTCAGCAGTTGCCCTTCATATATTTAAATTCCAGATGCTTACAGGACCTGAGACATGTGCATTTACATAAAGTAGAAGAATCACCAGAGGCTGGTGGCTGTCACCTGTAATCCTAGCTACTCAGGAGGCTGAGATCTGAGGATCATGGTTCAAAGCCAGCCTGGGCAGGGAAATCCCCAATTAACCACCAATAAGGGAAGTGGAGTTGTGGCTCAGGTAGTAGTAGAGCACTATCCTTGAGCCAAAACGCTCAGGAAAAGCACCCAGGCCTTGAGTTCAAACCCTAGGTCCTGCATGCACACCCATGTACACAGACTCAGAGAGAGAGAGAGAGAGAAGCTAAAAAGTAACACGTGCTTTGTAATTTTGCCAGTACTCTCTATTTAACCATCAAAAACAGCCAAGACAGGTTCTAATTTACAGCTGTTTCGATCGAAGTTACAGCTCACTCACAGCTCACAGTTCCCAGGCGAGCCGCTCTCTCTGCCTTGCTCCAAGGCCAGCGGCCCAGCTTTTTAGGATTTTGTAAACCAAAAAGTTAGCATAGGAAAGGCTTTCCCGTCCCTTGCAGAAATCCAGATAAACCTCTGAAGATCGGAAGAAAAGCTAATGAGGCAGGAAAAAATGGGACATTTTATTACCAAATCCTGATCCCCACTACCACCACCCATGCCGCACGTCGGTGACCAGCGCCCCGGCGGCGGGGACGGGCGCGGCGTCTGTGCTGGGGCGGGGGGGGGGGGGGGCTGGGTGAGCCGAGCGCAGGCCCCGCCCCCGGAGCCGCTCCGGCTCCTCCCTCCTCCAGGGCGTCCCCGGGCGCCGGCCGCGCTTGCAGCTTTGGGGGTGGAAGTGCGGCGCGGGTGGGAGCCATGCAGGACGCAGGGCTGCGGTCGCGCCCAGCGCGCGCGATGCTGCCGCTGCTGCTGCCACTGCTGCTGGCCCAACCCGGGCTGGCGGCCTCCGCCGCGTCCCTGGCGCCGCCGCTTTTCAACGTGAGCCTGGACGAGGCCCCCGGGGTGCGCTGGCTGCCGGTGCTGCGGAACTACGATCCGGACTTCTTGCGCACCGCGGTGGTACAAGTCATCGGGTGAGCGGCGGCCGGGGGCGCGGGTGCGGGGCCGGGCCAGGCCGGGGCCCGGGAAAGCGCGGACTCCCGATTCCTCCGGGAGCGCCGGCGACCCCACCAGGTTGGCTCGGCTTGCAAGTTTGGTGTCGGCCGTGGCACGCCCGATCTGAACCATTCCGGGGGCCGTCACCGGGGCTGCCCACGCCTTGCTTTTGGGGGGGCACCCCCGTACCCTGATGTTCCTTTTTCCCTCTTGGGTGCTGTGGATTGAGCGCCCCCGCGCCGGGGCTGCGGGGACACGTGTGCGCCCATCTGTCACTGAACAGATGTCACAGCGCCGTGCCGTGTGCTCGCTTGTTTCTAGCGATAGGGTTCCGGACTGGGTCCTGCGGTTGATCGGGAAAAGGATCGGGGAGCTGGAGCGCTTCCTGCCGCAGCCCTACGGCGACGAGATCCGCGGCATGTGCAACTTCCTGAACCTCAGCCTGGCCGACGGCCTCCTGATCAACCTGACCTACGAGTCGTCCGCGTGAGTGGCCGGCCGGCCGCGCCTGTCCCGGACGTGACGTGGGAGGAGGCGGCCGCGGGAGGTGGAAAACACGCGCCCCGGGGCCACCGAATCCCGGAGTCCCGGAGACATGACAGTCTTTGTCACAGCCTGGTGACCTGCCAGGGATTGAGAGCCTCTCGGAGGGGAGGAAGGGGGGGGGGCGGGGAGCAGTTCTCTGCTTAAACATGGATGGAGCTTTTCCTAAACCCTACCCATCCTTGCTGGTCTCTTTCAAAGCTCATCCAGGGCTGGGAAGGTGGCTCAGTGGTAGAGCGCTTGCCTTGCATGCCTGAGGCCCTGGGTTCGATTCCTCAGCACCACATAAGCAAAAACAAAAAAGCCGGAAGTGGCGCTGTGGCTCAAGTGGTAGAGTGCTAGCCTTGAGCTGAAGAGCTGAGGGACAGCGCCCAGGCCCAGAGTTCAGGCCCCACAACTGGACCCCCCAAAAAAGAAAAAAAAAGACACAGAAGTCTGACACAGGCCTGGCACCGGTGGCTCACACTTGTAATCAGGAAGCTGAGATCTGAGGATCACAGTTTAAAGCCAGCCCAGACAGGAATGTCCATGAGACTCTTATCTCCAATAAACAACTAGAACACTGAAAGTGGCACTGTGGCTCAAGTAATAAATAGAGCGCCAGCCTTGAGCTGAAAAGCTGAGAGACAGTGCCCAGATCCAGAGTTCAAGCCCCATGACCAACAACAAAACAGAAAAAAAAAAAGAAAGAAATGTCAATTGGGAAAGATGGGGGAGAATGATGGGGTGATTAAGATGATTTTTGATTAAGATGCATTTTACTTGGGCTGGGAATGTGGTCTAGCGGTAGAGTGCTTGCCTAGCATGCATGAAGCCCTGGGTTTGAGTTCTCAGTACCACATAAACAGAGAAAGCCAGAAATGGTGCTGTGGCTCAAACAGTAGAGCACTCACTTTGAGCTGAAGAGCTCAGGGACAGTGCCCAGACCCAGAGTTCAAGCCCACAATTTAAAAAGAAAAGAAAAGAAAGAAATGCTTTCTCATTTCCAGAAGCAAGGCATACAAATGTGAATGTTTGAGGCTGAGTTATTCTAGCCATGTTTTGTTGGGGCTAGCTGGTCCCAGGCCCTTCATACACATAGCCCTATGGGGTAGGGGCTATTTATTGTTTTGTGATACGGAAACCAAGCCTCAGAAGGAGCAACTTGATCCCTTTGTAGCTGGCAAGTCCCAAGGCTGCTACCAAAAGCAGACTCATCTCCAGGGTCCTGCAGTGCCACTCCCTAGGTATACTGGTCTTACCTGTCCCTTGTGCTTCGAAACACTGTCATGTCAAACACTGGGGTGATTGCCTGTTTTCGAAAAGCACCTTTGAGAGAGATTATGCAAGCTTTGCATGTTACTTCTATATTTTGTCAGCCTCCTCCCTGACATGAACCTTTTGAGGATCCGAAACTTTAGAAGGAATTAAAACTTGCCCTAGCTTCCTTTTTTAGACAAACCAAAAATGAAGTAACATTGTGGGGATTTTTTTTCTTATTATAAAAGTAATACTTAGTGGCGCTATAGCTCAAGTGGTAGAGTGCTAGCCTTGAGCTGAAGAGCTGAGGGACAGCGCCCAGGCCCAGAGTTCAAGCCATGACCGACAAAAAAAAAGTAATAATCATTATATAGACTTGGGGGACTGGGTGTGGTGATACAAAGCTGTAATCCCAGCTACTCAAGAGGCAGAAGTGAGAAGATCACTATCCAGCCTGGTCCAGGCAAGAAAACACAAAAGCAACTCCACAAAGTCAACAGAAACAAAAAGGGCATGGTTCAAAAACTGATGGAGTGCTTAGAAGGTCCTAAATTCAAACCTTAGTATTGCTACCAGAAGTTCTTTAAAGTAGAATTATAATGTATATCAATTATAAGGAAAAACTGTCGCTTTGAACGTGTGTTTGAAAAATGAGACATTTATTTCCTGTCTTGTATGTGTCTCATTCATCTGTATTGGGCTTTTTCCCTTTCTCAGATTCTGCACCAGTATCGTGGCTCAGGACTCCACAGGCCACATTTACCACGGGCGGAATCTTGACTATCTTTTTGGAAATATTCTGCGCAACTTGACAGTAGATGTGCAGTTTTTAAAAAATGGCCAGGTACAGTCTGTATGACATAAGATATAGAAATCCAAGACTTTCTGAGCAAAGTGTACAGTCATTTGGATGGGCTGCTAACTTATGTGTATCATTGTTGTAAGATTTTCCCAAAAAAAATGCGGGGGGGGCATAAAATCAGTCTTCCATCTGCTATGCCCAGTCGCTCCCTCCTCTGCTTCCCTGTGTTCAGGCTGCTTCTGAAGTCAGAAAGGGCCCAGTATTGCAAGAGCTTCCAGGTCACAGCTTCCAGGTCTGATGTCCTGTGTTTAAATCCTGCTGTTACTTCTGTGAACCTGCAGAATCATTCAGACCTGTTTTGTGCAGTGCACCTCAGAGAAGTTAGTAACTACTTTATTGAAAAGGCTACTTAGGTTAAATGAAGTCATCTATATGGAGCCTGGGGTAGGTGTGTGATAGTAGGAAATTAAAAATTGAGCCTTCACTGTATGAAGATGGTTTACTCATATCATTCTTGTGTCATTTTGTTTTCAGCAGGATATCTTAAAAAGTACAATTAAAGTCTTGGGCATAGTGGTGCCTGCCTGTAATCCCAGGCAATCAGGAATCAGAGATTAGGAGGATTGCAGTTTGAGGCCAGCAAAGACCTCATCTCAATCAATACGCTGGTTATGAGATCTGCGATCTGTTATGCAGGAGGTGTAGGGAGGAGGCTCATGATCTGAAGTTGGGTTGGGTAAAAAGCAAAATAATCTATCTTAAGAATAAAGGAAAAAAGATTGCAAGTGTGGTTTAATTGGTAGAAGGCTTACTAGCCGAGAACAGGGCTCTAAGTTCCAATTCCACTACTACCAAAAGAAGAGAAAAATAAAACCAAAAAACTAGCCTATTATTTGCTTGTTGTCAGATGGCTGTGGAAACCTCTAGAGAGACAGTGCAAGGCCTATGACTGCCATAGTGCAAATACCATCTAAAAGCTAGATTTTAGCTTTAAGAACAAGGATAATTGCATTAATAGATACTAGAAAATAACTATTAAATACATGGTCATCAACTTTTGTAAAGAAAAACCTTTTTCACTAAAGGTGCAAACAATACAGACACATTTAAAGTAGAAGTTTCTCTTTTCTCACTGGCATACTTTTTCTTTTTGGTCAGTCATGGGTCTTGAACTCTGGACCTGGGCGCTGTCCTCGAGTTCTTCAGCTCAAGGCTAGCACTCTACTACTTGAGCCTCAGTGCCACTTCTGGTTTTCTGGTGGTTAATTGGAGATAGGAGTCTCACGGACTTTCCTGCCCAGGCTGGCTTTGAACCTCAGTCCTCAGATCTCAGCTTCCTGAGTAGCTAGGATTATAGGTGTGAGCCACCAGCACCTGGCTTCAATGGAATGCTTTTACTTTTAATAAGACTTGCTTCAAAAATAATTGTTTCCAGGAGGAGGTAACAATGCTTAATTAGAAATGTACTCATTACCTTGCTCATGTAACTGTAACCCCTCTACAGTATTTTTACAATAAAAAACGTATTAAAAAATTGTTGCCAGGTACCAATGGCTCATGCCTGTAATCCTGGCTACTCAGAAAGCTGAGATCAGAAGATTATCTTTTAAAGACAGCCCAAGCAGGAAAGTCCATGAGCTTTTGTCTCCTGTTAACCCCCCAAAAGCCGGAAGTGGATCTGTGGCTCAAGTGATAGAGCACCAGCGTTGAACAGAAAAAAAAAAAAGTCCAGCAAGAATGCAGGGCCCTGGGGCTGGGAAGGTGGCTCAGTGGTAGAGTGCTTGCATTGCATGCCTGAGGCCCTGGATTCGATTCCTCAGCACCACATAAGCAGAAAAAGCTGGAAGTGGCGGTGTGGCTCAAGTGGTAGCACTAGCCTTGAGCTGAAGAGCTGAGGGACAGTGCCCAGGTCAGAGTTCAGGCCTCATGACCGGAAAAAAAAAAAAAAAAGAATGCATGGCCCTGAGTTCAAGCCTCAGTACCACCACAAAAGAAAAATAAATAAAAACAAGTGGAGGTGTTCCCACTGGGATATGCAAAATGACTTACTAAATATTTTAAAGTTGGATGTAATTATTATTGGTGACAATAAACAAGTCCTACTTGTTCTCCCTAACTTCCCAGAGGTTATGAAACCTGTGATGTTTATCTTATAAGCAAAGCAAAATGTTTTAAAATCAAACCCTATTTTCAACTTCCATAATGAGGCGTTTGTTTTTTAGGATAATGTTTTATAAATAGATAAAATACAAGGATTACAAGGGAAATCAAAGAAGTTGAAATACACGTCATTTCAATGCTCTACCTCCCCCTCACCCCCCTCTTCAATCATGGGGCTTGAACTCTGGGCTCAGGTACCATTGTTGTGAATGAAAATTCCTGTAACTTTTACTGTCTATATACCTCCAGTGCCACTGTTACTGTGTGCATTCAGTAAAGAAGCAGTTACAGGGCTGGGAAGGTGGCTCCATGGTAGACTGTTTGCCTTGTATGCATGAGGCCCTGGGTTCGATTCCTCAGCACCACGTAAGCAGAAAAAGCTGGAAGTGGTGCTGTGGCTCAAGTGGTAGAGCCCTAGCCTTGAGCTGAAGAGCTGAAGGACAGCACCCAGGCCCAGAATTCAGGCCCCATGATTGAGGGCGGGGGGGGAAGGAAGGAAAGAAGGAAAGAGAGAGAGAGAGAGAAGTGGTTACATTTCAGGAAGAGATTAGTGAAAATAAAGATACCCCTTTTTCCCCACTCTATTTCACTCCACTGAATTGGATCCATGCATCCCCAAGGCTTAGAGCCCTATTCTAGAATACTCTTTCAGAGATACATTCTATTACATTGAAAAATATATATTGGGAAAAAATATTGAAAAGTATTCCAGGAAATGGTGATTTTGATGTATATTTTGGCAGAACAGCATAGTAGTACCTTCTCTTGATTTCAGATCGCGTTCACTGGGACCACTTTCGTTGGCTACGTGGGTCTGTGGACTGGGCAGAGTCCATACAAGTTTACAGTTTCTGGCGACGAACGAGGTAATCACAACAAACTCCTCCGCATCTTTCCTATCTCCCTGTTTAGTTCTGGCCACAGACTTCGTTCACTCACCTAGCATGTGACAGGGGCTTGCGTCCAGTGAGGGGAGCCCCACAGTAGTGATTCCAGCCAGACCATATGAGGTGGTGAGAAGAGTTGCAGAGGAGTCTCACAGGAAGACGAGAGGGAGGGCGCCAGAGGTAGGGCAAGGCTGGGGGTGAACTCCTACAGGTCAGAGAAGGACCAACCCATGGGATCCCTGAGCCAGGTCTGCAGAGGTTGGGAAAGGCCATTCCTTTTTTGTCTTTTTTTTAACTGTCAGTCGTGGGGCTTGAACTCTGGGCTTGGGGGCTGTTCCTGAGCTCTTCAGGTCAAGGCTGGTGCTCTACCACTTGAGCCACAGCACCACTTCTGGTTTTCTGAGTGGAGACAAGAGTCTCACGAACTCTCCTGCCCAGGCTGGCTTTGAACCGTGATCCTCAGATCTCAGCCTCCTGAGTAGCTAGGATTACAGGCGTGAGCCACAGGCGCTGGGCTAGCAAAGCACATTCCTGTCAGAATATGATAGGTAGATTCCAGAAACAGAACAAGGTCAACTTGGTTACAGCATGGAGTAAGAGGGTAGCGATAGTACAAGTGTAGAGGGGACTGGGGCTATGATGAGGGCTTTTGTGTATGTGTGTATATGTATACGTGTATGTGTACATACGTGTACCTGTGTGCGTGCTGGTCCTGAGGCTTGAACTCAAGGTCTAGGCGCTGTGCCTGAGCTCTTTTTGTCCAGGCTAGCACTCTACCACTTGAGCCACAGTTCCACTTCTGGCTTTTTAGTAGTTAATTGGAGATAACAGTCTAATGAACTTACCTGCTTGGGCTAGCTTTGAACTTTGATCCCCAGATCTTAGCCTCCTGGAGTAGCTAGGATTACAAGTGTGAGCCACGGTGCCCAGCATGGTGGGGACTTTTGCTACAGTACTGGAGACTGAACATAGGGCCTTGAGCTTGCTAGGCACAAGCTCTACTCCTAAGGGTTCAGCCTGCATATTTTTGCATGCTAGAAAAACATCTATTGTATACATGTGTTCGCCCATACATACATGTTGTTTTTTTCTGATTGGCATGAAATTCAGGCTTAATCTTTGAAGACTGATCCTGGTAAAAATCACTCTTCATCAACCAGCCTTTCCTCTCCATCGGCTTCTAATATGGGAAAGAATTTTTTTATTTCCATTTCCTGGAGTTCATCTTGAGAAATAATTATTTTATATGGTTAGCTACACATAAGCATTGAGTCTTTGTATTCCTCTCCTAAGAAGAATTTTTTCTTTCCAGTCCTGGGGCTTGAACTCTAGGCCTAAGTACTATCCCTGAGCTTCTTTTTTTTGGGGGGGGGAGGAGGGGTCCCGTCAGGGGGCCTGAATCTGGGCCTGGGCGCTGTTCCTCAGCTCTTCAGCTCAAGGCTAGCGTTTTATCCCTTGAGCCACAGCACCACTTCTGGCTTTTTTTTTTTTTCTGTTTATGTGGTGTTGAGGAATTGAACCCAGGGCCTCATGCATGCAAGGCAAGCACTCTACCACGGAGCCACCTTCCTAGCCCTCCCTGAGCTTCTTTTGCTCAAGGCTAGCACTCTACCATTTGGACCACAGCGGCCACTTCTGACTTCTTCGGTTTATGTGGTACTGAGGAATCGAACCCAGGGCCTCATGCATGCGAGGCAAGCACTCTGCCACTGAGCCAACTTCCCAGCTGAGAATTTTTTTTTTTTTAATGTTCATGGTAGTCAGGTGCTAGAGGCTCATACCCATAACCTTAGCAACTGAGGACACTGAGAGCTGAGGATTAAGGTTCAAAGCCAGCCCAGGCAGAAAAGTCCTGTGAGACTCTTATCTCTAACTAGCAAAAATCCGAGGGTGGAGGAGTGGCTCAAATGGTAGAGCACCAGTCTTGAGCAAAAAGACCAAGTAAGAGCACGAAGCCCTGGGTTCAAGTCCCAATACTGGTGTGTGCACACACACACACACACACACAATGTTAATGGTGCTTGGACAACAAGTTTATGGCTCCTTCCTTAATTCAACAGATAAAGGCTGGTGGTGGGAGAATGTGATCGCAGCCTTTTTTCAGGGCCACTCTCCGATCAGCTGGCTTCTCCGCAGCGTGAGTAGATCCCCTGTTGGCCCCTCCTCACTGAACTCTAAGCCACAGCAGACATGGTGCAAGGCGCTGTCAGTTTACAGTATTGGTGCTTCCTCCTTTTTATTTTTTTCCAGTGCTGGGACTTGAGCTCAGGGTCTGGGCACTGTCCCTGAAGTTCTTTTGCTTATAGCACTTTACCACGGAGCCATTTCTGGCCTTTTCTGTTTGTGTCACTGAGGAATCAAACCCAGGGCTTCATGCACGCTAGGCAAGCATTCTACCACTGAGCCACCTTCCCAGCCCATAGCATTGCTTCTTAATGGAAGAAGGTTCTGAAAATAATAAGCTGCAAGCATGTAAATACTAAAGACAACCGTCAGATTTTCATCAGTACCATTACATTACAGTAGCCAAGAGTCTAGTGTAAGCCACACTTGGCTTTGATTTGGGCAGAAGTAACTCAGTGTATTAAAGGAAGAATGAGAGTGTAGGGAAAGGGGGTGACTGTCAACTTGAGTGTGGGGGTGACCAGTTGTAAGCGGAAAGGGGTGGTCCACACAAAACCCACTTGGACTTGTTATTTATTTATCCATTCATTCTCCTTGTTAGTTTTAGAGTTTGAATTCAGTGCCTCATGTCCTTGGTTGGCGTGCTTGCTCAGCTTGCACACTTCCAACTTGAGCCATGCCTCCAACCCTGCTTTTTACTAGTTCATTAGAGATTGAATCTAGTGGGGGTTTTTTTTGCATAGGTTGACTTCAAACTAAGACACTTAGATTTCAGCCTCCTGAGTAGCTAGGATTATAGGCATAAACTACCAGCTGGCTCAGAGCCTTACTGAAGTGGACCTTCTGTGGTTGTAGACACTGGATGACATGAGCCCCCTTTTCATGCATTGGCTGACATGAACAAGTTCTTCTGATAACCTTGAATTTTATACAGTAACTGCTTGATATAAGAGATGATGATGGGGTATATGTGTGTGTGTGTGTGTGTGTGTGTGTGTGTGTGTTGGTACTAGAGCTTGAACTCAGGGGCCTGAGTAATGTCCCTGCATATTTGTCCAAAGCTAACACCCTACCATTGGAGCCACAGCTCCACCTCCAGCTCTTTTGGTGGGTCATTGGGGGTGGGGTGGAAGCCTTATGGGCTTCCCTGCCTAGGCTGGCTTTGAATGTCAATCTTCAGATCTTAGCCTCCTGAGTAACTAGGATTACAGGTGTGAGGCACCAGTGCCTGTAAAGCTGGGTGCTTGGTGGACCCCTTAACTGTCCACACCATGCATCTTTGGAAGTCTTTACCCACACGCAGAGTGTCAGAGCAGCTGTGGGGCTCCACTCTCATGTAGCATGCTCTCCTTCCTCCCAAGACATTAGCAGTTGAACCCATCAAGCCAGAACCCTGCCCCCCTCCACCCACTGCTCACCCTGCAACTGCCGCTCTGATGCTGTAACTTCTCTTTGTCCCTTTGCCACGCTTCTCTTATGAGAAGATGGTCTTCTTGCCCTCTCCTCCAGGGCTGGCGCTGCCTGCCCTGTGTCCCCACTGCCTGTTGGCTTCTCTGTCTTCCTTGAAAGTGTGAGGGGAACACGAGCAGTGTCAATCATATTCAGTGTTGCAGCCCCAGCCCTGAACAGTGCCCGGCCCATAGCGACATTTAAGAAACACCTGTGGAGGGGCAGGGATGGTGAGTGTAAGCGAGGGGATGATTCCACCGTTGCTATACCAGTATGTCACACAGAACTGGTTTTGCCAGCAATTCTGGCAGGAAAACCCAGCAGCCACAGCAATTGTATGATAATCTGTAGTAAGCACAAACTAAACAGGACATGGGAGTGTGTGTCTGTGTGTCCTTGTGTCCTGGGGGACCAACCACCTGCTTTCTACAGTGGAAAAAACGAAAGAGGCCAAGTGCCGTGGGCCTATTAGGCCAGTGTCAAGTACCATTTTGGCCATGAGCCAGGGACAGAGACTCAGGGTTTTACATGATGCACATGCCGTTAGCTCCCATACAGGGGCCCATGCTTGTAACTCCAACTATTGAAAGATCATGGTCCATGGCTAGCCTAGGCATTGGTGGTAGGTAGACCCTTTCTGGTCAAAAGCAAAAGGGACTGGGGCATGGCCTGACTGGGAGAGTGCTGGCCCAGCAGGTGCAAGGCCTCAGGTTCAATCCCTGTGTCACCTAAATAGTAAAGAAGAGGGGGACGGGAGAGCTATGGAAAGAACAAATGGATGAGAAGCATGGGAGCCTTGTATGTTGCCAAGGTGATCTGCTTCAACAGCACACAGCTTGGTGAGCCAGGACGGGGACTTGATCCTTTAGCCTTTCGGGAGAAACTGCTGCTGCTATGGGTTTCCCAGTGAAGCAGAGGTTTCTTCCCATTCAGGCACCCTGATGACAATAGGCAAAAAGCAGAGCCGTTTGAGGTGAGAGCTTTGGGTTAACAAACCAGGAGAATGCCCTTGGACCAGCTGTCCACCTATCAGTGTGGACCGTTCCATGGATAACGTTCTCAAGGATGATTTGTCTTGTTGCTCAGACCCTGAGTGAGTCGGAGAATTTTGAAGCAGCTGTGTTCAAACTGTCCAAGACCCCCCTCATTGCCGACGTCTATTTCATTGTGGGTGGAATGTCCTCCAAGGAAGGCGTTGTCATCACCAGGAACAGACGGGGCCCAGCAGACATTTGGCCTCTGGATCCTTTGAATGGAGCGTGAGTATAGAGTGTACAGTGTATGGCTCTTGTCTTTTTCTATGAAACACTTTTTTTTTTTTTTGGTGGGTCCTGGGGCCTGAACTCTGAGCCTGGGCACTGTCCCTCAGCTCTTCAGCTCAAGGCGAGTGCTCTACCACTTGAGCCATTTTTAGCACCACTTCTGGCTTTCTGGTGGTTAATTGGAGATAAGAGTCTCATGGACTTTCCTGCCCAGGCTGGCTTTGAACTGTGATCCTCAGACCTCAGCCTTCTGAGTAGCTAGGATTACAGGTCTGAGCCACCAACTCCCAGGTGAATTTTTTTTTTAATTTGATGAAACTAGAAGTGCTTTTTAGTTTTTAAGTATTTCTTGTCTGACCAAGAGGCATTATATACACGGTGGTCATGTTCAAATGAAACCCCCTGGGCAGCTAATTGATGCTAATAAAAAATAAAGAAGTATTTCTTGTATTGGAATGTCCTAAATGGCCTTGGATAAGACAAGAAGCTAGCCGGGCACCGGTGGCTCACGCCTGTAATCCTAGCTACTCAGGAGGCTGAGATCTGAGGATCTCAGTTCAAAGCCAGCCCCGGGCAGGAAAGTCTATGAGACTCTTATCTCCAATAAACCACTAGAAAACTAGAAGTGTTGCTGTGGCTCAAGCAGTAGAGCACTTGTCTTGAGCTGAAGAGTTCAGGGACAGTGCCCAAGCTCAGAGTTCAAGTCCCACAATCGACAGAAAAAAAAAAAGACAAGAATCTTTGCTCTGTTGTAGGTGGTTCCGAGTCGAGACAAATTATGACCACTGGAAGCCAGTACCTAAGAAAGATGACCGCAGGTAAATGACTGTCTGCTTTCTGCGTGCTCTGTTTGCATGGTCAGGAAATGGTCCCCTTCTCCCATAAGGACTGGAGAGACCTGGAATGCTGGCCCCTTCCAGAAAAGTGCACCTGGTTTCCTCACCAGTGTCTTGACCAGCATGAGAAATACAGTACATTGAGGAGAGCGTGGAGGGCCTCTTGGCTTGCTGGGTCCAGGTTGGCTCTGTCCTTGGGGTCAGGAGCTCTGGATCCCAAAACCAGCCCATCAGTGACCCACTGTGTAACCTCTTGTGTCTCTTTCGCCCACGTGTAAGTGAAAGCAGAGAGTTAGATTTATTGCCACTTATATAAGACTTTAAAAAGAAAACAACAAATCTATGACTTTCATGATCCTTCCTCTCTTTTATATGTGCCAGAACCAAGGCTTGAACTCAGGGCCTTGCTCAGCTTTTTTACTCAGCTGGTGCACTACCACTTGAGCCATGCCTCCAGCCCTGCTTTGGGCTAATTAATTGGAGATGGAGTCTCTCTCACTTTTTCTTCCTGGTTTAGCTTCACACCTCGTATCTCAGCCTCCTGAGTAGATAAGATGACAGGCATGAGCCATTCGTGCCCAGCTTTATTGTTTCTTCTAACTGAAATTTCTTCTAGTCAGTGTGTCCCCAAAGAGCAGGTAGCTATATTCCTGGCCCCACCTCTTTGGTGAGAACCTTTTGATCCTGCAGCAACTGTTCTGCTGCTTTGAGCACGTGAGGCCAAGGGTCAGCTGCAGGATGAGTCCTGCCTGCTGGGTCTTAGCTGAAGTATCCATTGTGTGTGAACCCTGTTCTCTTTGGAGAAGAGGGAGATAATGAGACTGGAACTAAAATACCCTTTGAATGTCAGTGTTTCCTGAAGTGGCTGGTGACCTTTAACCTTTGTCCTTACAGAACACCTGCTATCAAAGCCCTAAATGCCACGGGGCAGGCAAACATCAGTCTAGAGGCGCTTTTCCAGGTAACTGTCCTTCAGGATGCTTGATGTCTTTAATACTAGAAGAAAAATTCTCTGTTTGTTCTAGCCAGTTAAAAGTATCTTTTTAACCTAAAAGCCATGCAGCATTTTAATTCCTTTTTTGTTGTGGATTAAAGCGTTCCACTTTACCCATATGTTCCTTTATGTTAAAAAGAACACATAGTTGCACTATGTATCTGTGTTTGTTATATTGTTCTGTAGCAGAGTATGAACTCAGGGTCTCTTGCCTAACATTTTTGTTCCTGACTAGCATTCTGCCATTTGAGCCAAGTCTCCAGTTTAAGCAATTTGTTGCTTAATTGAAAGTAAGCACCTAATGGATTTTTGTTTTTGACCTGGGCTGACTCAAACCTTGGTCCTCAGATCTCAGCCTCTTGAGTAGATGAGATTACAGGTATGAGTTACTGGTGCCTGGCTCGTGTCCATAGAAAAGAAAAAGAAGCCTGGCACTGGTGGCTCACACCTGTAATCCTCGCTACTCAGGAGGCTGCGATCTGAGGATTGCAGTTCAAAGCCAGCCAGGGCAGGAAAGTTCGTGAGACTCTTATCTCCAAATAACCACCAGAAAACCAGAGGTGGCGCTGTAGCTCAGGTAGTAGAAGGCTAGCTTTGAGCTGTAGAGCGCAGGGACAATGCCCAAGCTCAGAGTTCAAACCTCATGACCTACAAAAAAGAAAGAAAAAAAAAGAAGAGCAAGGATTTCAACAGTTACAACTATCACACTGATATGTATTAAGTGGTTAATTTTTTCTTATAGATAGCCAACATGGATTTCTTCTACTTTTTAATTTTCTTGTCATGTGACTTTTTTCCCTATGCAGGTTTTATCAGTGGTTCCAGTTTTTAACAAGTAAGTGACATGTGAAGGACAGCTGTTCATTTGTCACCCAGAGCAGTGCATTCACCTGCTCTTCCCCAGGAGTCTGAGGGTTCTTGTGAGTAGATGTGGGCCTCATCTTCTTTGGGTTGTAAACTTGGCTTGATGTGTTGGTCACTCAGGAATGTTAAATTTCACTAGACACCAGTGGCTCATACCTGTAACCTTAGCTACTCAGGAGGCTGAGGTGTGAGGACTGAAGTTCAAATCTAATTCAGGCAGTGGCATCTGTGAGTTTCTTAGCTCCAATAAACTGCCTAGAAAGCCAGAGTGGAGCTGTGGCTCAAGTATTCACTAGCCTTGTGAATACAGCAGTGATGAAGTAGCACCCTGGGATTACTCTTCCGTCATGTTGGGGATCAGGAAGCAGATAAGTAAATATGTTACCAGTCAGGTGAGAAATTCATGAAGAAAACCAGATGAGAGGAATGGAGGAATCCAGGAGGAACATGGCGGGTGGCCCTCTCAGTCTGGTAGCTGTGGACATCCTCACAGGATGAATTCATGAACTCTATCAGAACTCAGCTTTGAAAGATCACCTGAATGAACATAGTTCCCAGACTTCCAGGCCTTGGAGCAACAGCTCCAAGACTATTAGTCCTATGTTGCCCTCTTGTGCTGTGATGCAAAATTACACCCTCGATCTATACCACACTGTTTTGAATGGTGGCTGTCAGTAGACAAAATGTATAAAAGTGAAGGAATGACCAAAGCAGCTGAGATCCTGTTCATGGAGCCTGTGTTAGCCTTGGATGAGCTCCATCTTCATAATTTTGTCTTTAGCCGGCTTTGTGATTCAGGAGTGGGCCCAGAGCCTCTGCCTTTACCGTGTCTCTGACAGTGCAGCTCCAGATGCATTGAGCATGCACCCAGCTGTCTTCTAAGACATAAGATAGAGAAGGACGTGAAAATGTGTATGTACACGTAAGCTTATGTTTCGGTCTCTTACCTATTGAGAATGTAGAATAAATGGCACAGTATTTTCTGTGCACAGTATTCGGGCTTGCACTCAGGGCCTGGGTGCTGTCCCTTAGCTTTTTCACTCAGGACTGGTGCTCTATGGCTTGAGCCACTGTTCCACTTCTGACTTTTTGGTTGTTAATTGGAGATAAGAGTCTCACTGTTGTGCCTGGCCTGGTTTTGAACCACGATCATAGATTTTTATCCTCCTAGGCTAGGATTATAGGCAGGAGGCATCTGAGAAGCTTCCGTTCCAACTTGGCCTTCTGATGTGTTACCAAACTAAAAGCAAAGAATACCTTGGTCTGTTGATTTAATATTTTAAGAACGTGGAGATGAATGGGCCTCTATTTTTATTCTTATTCTACATACTTAGTGTTAGAGAAGGGTTTGATATTTTCCCCATCTTTGGAATGCCAAGGGAAGTGACACAAATGTAAGAACTCATCTCCTTATTTTCAGCTACACAGTTTATACTACTGTAATGAGTGCCGCCAGCCCAGAAAAGTACATGACCAGGATCAGAAACCTGAGCTGAAAGTAAGTCTGCAGAAGAGTGCAGTCCTCTGTGCTGAGAAAGATTTGCCAATTTTTTATTGGCAAATGTTTGGTGTGTGTGTGTGTGTGTGTGTGTGTGTGTGTGTGTGTGTGTGTGTGTGTGTGTGTGTGCGTGCGCATGTTGGTAGTTCTCATGGAGAACTTGTCTGACAGTGTTCGGCATGACGAGCAGGCAGGGCACATTACCTTGCCTTTCCTGCTCTAGCGCTTGTGAGGCACCTACTGCCAGCACCCCATCTTCCCTGTCTTGTAAACCTGGGTTGATGTTTTGGTCACTCAGAAATGTTAAAAAAAGAAATCACAAGGCATTAGTGGCTCATGCCTGTAATCATAGCTACTAAGGAGGCTGAGATCTGAGGATCAAGGTTCAAAGCCAGCCCAGGAAGGAAAGTTCATGAGACTCTTTATCTCCAATAAACCCGCAGAAAACCAGAAATGACCCTGTGGATTAAGTGGTAGAGCGCTACCCTTGAGCTGAAGAGCCGAGGGACAGCACCCAGGCCCAGAGTTCAAACCACGACTGACCAAAAAAAAAAAAAACCCTCAGGAATACAACCCAAGCCTTGAGTTCAAACTCCAGGATCCACAAAAAAAAAAAATACTAAAATTCTCAGTCTCAATGAAATTAATTATTTTTTTTCTTTCCTTACAGATGAACATTTAAAGAATGAAATCCTTGAAGATAGCGAGCCACCAGTGACTTACACCTGTAATCCTAACTTTTCAGGAATCTGAGATCTGAAGATCATGGTTTCAAGCTAGCCCAGGCAGACAGACCCAGAGACTCTTATCTCCAGTTAACCAGCAAAAAAGCCAGAAGTGGAGATGTGACTTAAATGTAGTGGTCCAACTTTGAGGGCTCAGACCCTGAGTTCAAGCTCCGCTATTGGCACACACAAACAAAAGAAATCACTGGAGAGCTGTACTTTCTTTCTTAAGAACTGTACTTTAATAAATAAGACACACTGAAAGAATTACGTGATTGAAAAACACAGGCCGGTTTACCATTGAAGGTTTGGACACTGTGAAGCAGGGCAGATCCCTGGAACAAGTGTTGGTGAAGTGGATTATATGGTTTCAGCTCTCCTGTTTTTGTTGCCTGTACTCTCATGGAGTCTGCACAGTTCAGAGATAACTGATATCTGCTGCCTTATTCCCAGGGTCTCAGGATTCTGCTGTCATACTTATGCTTAGCCAATGAAGAGCTGGCAGTGCTGGGGGGGGGGGTGGGCAGGGAGGGGCTGAGGGCTAAGATTCTGGGTTCTAATCCCTACTACTACAAAATAAACACTGTAAAAGTACTTCTGGAAGAGCTAAATTTAAAAAATTGGGGGGAAGGAGGGTATGTAATCCAGTGGTAGAGCTCCTGCCCTGTGGGTATGAGGCCCTGGGTTCTACCTTAGTACTGCAAAAAAATCTTTTTTTTTTCCAGTCCTGGGGCTTGAACTCAGGGCCTGGATACTATCTCTGAGCTTCTTTTGCTCAAGGCTAGCACTCTACCACTTGAGCCACAGCGCCACTTCTGGCTTTTTCTGCTTATGTGATGCTAAGGAATTGAACCCAGGGCTTCATGCGTGCTAGGCAAGCACTCTATCACTAAGCCGCCTTTCCAGCCCCCTCTCCTACCCCAAAAAGAAAAATCTTATAAAGGGAGAACTCAGCTGGACATCAATGGCTCACACCTATAATCCTAGCTACTCAGGAGGCTGAGATCTGAGGATCACAGTTTAAAGCCAGCCCAGGCAGGAAAGTCCAGGAGACTCTTCTTATCTCTAATAAACTACTCAGAAAAAGATGGAAACAGCGCTGTGGTTCAGGTGGTAAAGTGCTAGCCTTGAGCAAAAGAAACTCAGGGACAGCTCCCAGGCCCTGAGTTCAAACCCCAGGACTGGCAAAATGTAAAAAGTGGGGACTGGGGGCCTTTGTTCCTAGATTTTGGTGTGTTATGTTTCTAATATGTTTTAAAAGCCTATGGACCTTCTTCTAAAAACTACTGCTTTAATGCTTTTTGAAAGTAATATGAAACAGATATGTTCTTGTCCTTTATTAATGACATTTGATAATAAAATACGGTAAGAAGAATAAAAATACTAAGCTATTTATGTTATCTTCCTACTTTACCACCTGTGACATTAAGGAAGAGTCATCTCAAGAAGAGTTATTTTACTGGGGCTGGTGGCTCATGTCTGTAATCCTAGCTACTCAAGAAACTGAGTCCCGAGGATCACAGTTTGAAGTCAGCCCAGGCAGGAAGTCCATGAGACTCTTATCTACAATTAACCACCAAAAAAGTCAGAAGTAGCTGTGGCTGAAGTGGTAGAGTACTAGCCTTCAGCAACAAAGCTCAGAAACAGTGCTCAGGCTCTGAGTTCAAGCCCCAGGACCAACACACACACACACACAATCAGACTGAAAAAAGCCAGAACATTTCTCGAGAAACAAGTTTACTAGCAAGTGTAGCATGCAGACAGGAGTCACTCAAGATTTCCTAAGAACTGGAGTATATATGTCATCTTAGAGAAGGACTTGGGCTTTGTGAGTGTTAGTGAAATGAGTCCCTTCACAGCTTAGCATGCTACCTTCCTAGACAACACTAGCCCCACTTAGTACAGGCAGTAAATAATCAGCCTCCAAGCCCCTTTACCTTGGGATGGCACTTCTCTGGGGCAGCTACCACAGATAAGGCAGCAAGAACCCCTTAGTGTGACCTTCAGGTCTGGGCAGCTGCTGGACCCTTAACTACTATTTGGACAGCAGCCATAAATAGTAGTCTGCCATACAAGTCCACACCAGGGTCTCTGCCTCCTAGCCCCTCCTAGCCTAAGGTTATATAGGTCATCTCAGACAATAGCCAGTGCTGCTTCTCACTTCTTTGTAAGAAGGAGTCTTGCTGCCACCCCCCCCCCCGCAATAAACCTTTGTTCTCTGTACCTGGATGTCTGCGTGGTTCTCTGGCAGTCTAATAATCTTTCAGTGAGGATGGCAAATTGTGAGGTCAAACATAAGGAAAGTAATGGTAGAAAAAGGCTAAGAAGTCAGAGAGCACCCCTGCCCCAGTAGTCTGGTAGTCCTCCCCAAACTTATTAAGACCTTTTTTTTTTTAAAGTATCAATCCTAGCTACTCAGAAGGCTGGGTTCTGGAGGATCATGGTTCAAGGCCAGCCAAGGCAGAAAATTCCCTGACTCTTATTCCAATTGGCTAGCAAAAAGCCAGAAGTAGAGGTGTGGCTCAAGTAGTAGAAGTCATCAAGCCTTGACTGAAGAAGCCAAGTGAGAGAGAGAGAGAGAGAGAGCATGAGGCACTGAGTTCAAGTCCCAGTACTTACACTAAAATAAGAAAAATGTGTCAATCAGTGGAAGCTGGGCTGGGAAGTTGGCTCAGTGGTAGAGCATTTGCCTTGCATGCCTGAGGCCCTGGGTTCGATTCCTCAGCACTACATAAGCAAAAAGAAAAAAAGCTGGAAGTGGCGCTGTGGCTCAAGTGGTAGAGT